GTTTTTTTCCTTTCTTTTTTTTTTTCAGAGAGTGCAGAGAAAATATGTGCTAAAAACAAAATGGAGATTTAAAAACCGACCCAAAACGAATATAGATAAACTTAAGGATCAAAACTTAAAGAAGTTTCCTAAACTAATTAAAATCTCTTCCAAAATTATAAAGGTTAATTTATGATTTTCGAAAACCTAATTTATCTAAATTAACGAACTCAAATATTAAGAGGAGTATAGTTGAGTGATAATTGACATGTACTACTCGGTTTTAGATCGGAGGTTCAATCTCCAATATCTCCAAATTGTTGTACTAAAGAAAAATACTAATAGACTCGAACTTAAATTCTTATTATCCCAAAATTATAACTTATCTCAAGAAAAATACATTAATTTAAGTTATCAAAATGGGGAGAAAATCAAAGATACAATCAAGGATACAAATTAAACCACTAAGTAATTTAGTCTGAAGAAGTATGCACTACCTACCTTCAAAAACTTTCATTATCAGAAGTTGACTAGTCAAGCAGTTAATAGCTTTCTAACTCTTACTATTTATAAGTAATACCGAGCCTGAGGGTGAGAGAATCTAAAGAATGACTCATCGTCGAGTCAAATAACACAAAAGCGATAATACTCACAACGAGGATTACTCAAATAGTAACACTCTAATAGGTAGAGTCTAAACAAGTACAAGACTCTTTAGTTAACTAAGGGGACATTCTATATCTACCTAACTTGCGAACATACAAGAAAAGTGAAATATAAACAAATATGTAACAATCAGTGCTAAAAAAATCAATCATCAATTTAAAAAGTCAATAAAGTAATCATCGATAATAAGTCCGCCAAAATGAACATAGCGTAGGGGTAATTGACATATACTTCAAACTAAGAGGTTGTGAGTTCGAATCTCCTCCCTAACATGTTATACTAAAAAAAAGACAAGTAATTTCGTTGAAATCAACAAGATTTGAAATTTGTAACAAATAACAATCTTTATAGTTTATAATTTGTAACAATTGAATATTTATCTGAAAAAATTCATATAGGTTAAAGTGATGATTTTTGTCGTATATGATTTAGCTTATGTAATTTGTAAACATATTTAATCTTTCGTCAATTTATCAATCTACATATTATATATAAGGAACTTGATAAAATAAAAAAGATTAAATCGTTACCATCTGTAAACTATAATACCTAAATTGTTATAAATTTAAAAGTATAGGACTAAATTGTTATAAACTAAAATCCATTAACTTAGAAATAAATATTTTTAGGGAAAAAAAGAACGGCCTATTAAATAATTTAATATTTTTAGGGGAAAAAAGAACGGCCTATTAAATAATTTAATACTATACCAGCGCCAAATAGATGAACCAAAAGAACACGCATATAATTTATCTCATAAATTCACAATTTATTGACTAATCGGCGCGACGAACAACCCGTATCCAATAAGTTATTTGTTTCCATTAAATTCTAGCAGCCAAAATCGTCACGAGTGCCGAAAAAGGCAACAGAAGATCGAAATTCCGAATTCCAAATATTAACCAAAACCCAAAAGAATCAGTGGGTTCCGATTTTCTTCCTCCGATTCGGAAAATACGTGCGTGATAAATCAAGAAATTTGAAGGAATATATATATATATATATATATATATTTTTTTTTAATTCACATCCCATTTTCTTCCTTCCACTTGTCGTCTCAGATCGGATCCATTCATCTTCTCACTCCCACAGGTGCGTACTTCTGATCGGTTTCGATCCATCTTATTGTTCTCATGTCATATTTCGTTATACGTGTTCGTTTCATGTGAAGCCGCGAAACAATTTTGGTCCAGTGTTTATGTTTCTCTTTATGGGTTTTTTTTGATCCTCAATGTTTTTCGAGGAATTGGGAAATCAAGATGCGGCAATATTTGAATGATAACAGATGTTAACGTGTGAATTCTGTTTAATCATTGTGAACAGTGGCCGTAGGTTCCAGTTGGTGTTTAAATAAATTACTTTTGCTTTAGAATTTTGAAGTATACTCTGTTTAGTCTTTGCTTTGAGTTGCAATTATGAGTGTTCATACGAATTTGCAAGATGGTTGTTTCTTAATTACCCGTATGGCTGGTAAATGAGGGGAATAACTGTTATTACTGCTAATAATTCAATCTTAATTCTCATAATGATAGTTCAAACTTCGAGGTTAGTTTTTGAGGGCGTGGTGGATGGGGATTCAGACGATGGGTTCTCAATTGAATGGCCAACAGTCTCATTTACAGCCATCTCCATTGATAAGACAAAACTCATGGTACAGTCTTACTCTAGATGAGGTGAACAATCAGTTAGGTGAAATGGGAAAGCCAATAGGCAGCATGAACCTTGATGAGCTTCTTCATAACATCTGGACTGCTGAAGCTAACCAATTCATTGGAATGGAGAATGAAAGTTCATCTTCGGTATCGTCTCTCCAACGTCAGGCCAGTTTCACGCTGGCTAGAGCGTTTAGTGGGAAGACTGTTGATGATGTATGGAGGGCAATTCAACAAGGGCAGAAGAAACGGTATGGGGAAGATTTGAGAAGTCAGAATAGTGAGGTTACACCTGGTGATATGACTTTGGAGGATTTTTTGGTACAAGCAGGGCTTTTTGCTGAGGCTTCTCCGACTGCTACTATGGGCTTGGTTGCCATTGATGCTATGGCACAGCAGAATTTTTCGCAGAAAATGTGCCTGCTGTCATCATCTCCTTCATTAGGCACACTGTCAGATACAACGACGCCGAAATGGAAAAGGGATCCATCAGATACCCTTGAGAAGACTATGGACCGGAGGTTAAAGAGAAAAATCAAGAACAGGGAGTCTGCTGCACGCTCTCGAGCTAGAAAGCAGGTTACATCTGGGGAACTTTTCATATAAAGGACTATTTATTTATCATATTGCTGGTCTGTTAATCTCCACAGCTGACCCAGTAATCCGAATGCAGGCCTACCATAACGAATTGGTGAACAAGGTTTCACGCCTTGAAGAGGAGAATGTAAAGCTCAAGAAAGAGAAGGTGAGTGATTTTATTATATGCCAATCCTTGTGTGACCATGCACCCACATGCCTGCTTGACTCAGTGACTCTTAAGTTTCAATGATAAATCTATGATTGAGTTTTTAATTTGTGATACCATGGTAACAAAAGAGGCATACGTTTATGAAATGGCACACATTTCTTAAGAAAAGTTTGTGCTGTCTGTCTTAGCCTTTATGCATTCTCAATATCGATATGCTCTCAATCTATTGACTTTCAGAGAGTTAGAGATGCAACAGTTGTATCTTTAATGTAGTTCATTAAGAAACAGTCATGAGAACTTATTTGAAGCAGGAGGTTTCTTATAATTGCCTCCTTGTCAAAAAGGACTAGTCATGAGAATAAGTTTGTGCTTGTCTAGCCTATATGCATTCCTTAATACCAATATATTCCCGCCAACCTGAACATAGCTCAGTGGATTGAAACACCTATGTCCAACTTGAAAATCGTGAGTTCGAATCCCTCTCACTCCACATGTTCTACTAAAAGAAAAAAAAAAGTATCAATATATTCTCAATTTATTGACTCTTAAAAGGTTAGAGATGGGATTGTTGTATTTGCATCTCTAACATAGTTCATCAAGAAAACCATCATGGGTTGGCTTTCGTTCAATAAGCACAAATGTAAATAGTAAAGGGCTTAGAGGAAATTAGTTTAAACCATGATGGTCACAATACATAAGATTTAATATCTTATGAGTTTCCTTGTTAATCAAATGTAGTATGATAAGAGGTTGTCTCATGATTAGTCTGAGGTGCACGCCAGTTGGCTCGAAGATGTGGATATAAAAAGAAAAACATAGTTCATCAAGAGACAGTCGTGAAAATTAACTTTAAGCAGGATGTTTCGTATAATTTTCAGCAGGGGCCTTCATTCCTATTCCAAACAATCCTAATAAAAAGAAGGATTTCTGTTCCAACCATTATTACATAGCATGGACGACAATATTTTTTTGGCAGTAGCTACTATACTAGTCCATTTGGCACCTGTTACATTCCAGACTTTTATTTCAATTCTTCTCTAAACTTATTCTGATTTGGCAAATACGGTCTTAGGATACAAATATCGCTGTTTAGAGCTTGCAACATGCTCGTGGGATTGGTTGGGTAGGCAGAAGTTGCACGTATTCTAGAATAAGATGGGGGGTGTCTCACTCACTCGAGAGGTGCTTTTGTATTCTGCCATTGATCTCCTGATGAACAGATCCTCTTCTGATCTAATCCAATCAGTGGTAGAGCCTTTAAAATAATTGGCCATAGATATCAGTGTTAATAGTAGGAAAAGAAATGAGGCACTTTAGTTGTAACGACCATGAAGATTCCCCGTAGAGACACGGGAGTTGTTCTGCTTCTGACAATAGTTAGCATAGCATTTATGGGGAGTTAAAAGGGCGGGAGTTGTTAGGACTCCTTTTGTGGGGCTGATCTTTTTGTATGCCATTTTATCTCTTTCATGAAAGTTTGGTTTTCTATTCAAAAAAATGAAATGGTCATTTCAATGGAAGGAAGTTTGGCAGTAGATGGAAACCCTTGGGTGAACATAATCAAAGGTAAGCACATATGGAGAAACYTTGCTATCTTCAAATTGGAGATGGAAAAAGAATTTTATTCTGGAATCATTGCTGGATTGAGCCCTTGGAAGCAAATTTTCCTCTATCGTATGGGTAATAATGTACAAAAGAACTATTGCTGTGATTCATCATTCATTAGCCTAAAACACAAAATCATGAAATATAGTAGATAGGTGGGTGCTAACTGATTCCAGAGCGGGAGAATTCAGTAAACTTTTTCAGATCTTGGAAGGATACAAGTACAGGGAAAATTCTGGAAGTTGCAACAATAAATAATTCTTAGGTGAAGTCTGTAAGGTTTTCCCTTACTTTTATTGATATTCAAGAACAAGAACAACGGAATCAATCCAGCCAATTCGAGAGGGCTGGGGAAACTCTCCAAGAAAGCACTCTGCTATTCTTACTTGCTAAGGAATTCTCTACCTCCCTCAAGGGAACATTCTCCCTTTTAACAAACTACTCCCCATGTCCAAGTGGGCCCTACTCTTCTAACTAACTAACTGGAAGTATAATTCCCCTTCTACCCCTCATAATATATGTCTTCACTACCGAGGGTCTAACATCACCCCCCCCCCCTCCCAAATTCACCTTGTCCCCAAGGTGATCAGTACCAAAATGCTGGGCATAAAAATCCGGAAACTGCTGACGAATATCCTCCACAACTTCCCAAGTAGCTTCCTCCTCCGGTAAGCCCTTCCAACTGACCAACGCCTTTTCCTTATGCGTAGTCGTGTTAATCTGTGTTGCAAACACATCGTCGGGCTCAGCCACCCACTCAACTTCATCAGTAACCCATGGCACGAGCTGTTGGACCACCACAACTACCCCTACAGCCAGCTTGAGCTGAGAAACATGGAAAATCGAGTGTATTTTAGCTTCGTTCGGCAATTTCAACTTATAGGATAGGCGACTGCACCAATCCTTTGAATAATCTCAAAGGGACCAAAATATTTGGGAGCCAGTTTTTCATTTCTCTTTTTAGCTACACGCAACTTCAAATAAACCCATGTCCCGACTTCAAACTCAACCTCTCTTCTCTTTCGATCAGCCTGCTTCTTCATCCTTTCTTGTGCCAACACCAAATGATCCCGCAGTCGCGCAACGATCTCATCCCTCTCTAGGAGTTGCTGATCCAATGTAGCATTGGACGTGGACATATAATCATAGCCCAACAACGGTGGGGGTGGCCGGCCATACACAATGTGGAATGGAGTAGTGCCAGTGGAAGCATGAAATGTGGTATTATACCAAAATTCAGCCCAAGATAACCAATGAATCCACTGCTTACTCTTAGGCTTTCCACTGCAGAAACATCGTAAATAAGTCTCCAGACATTTGTTGACCACCTCAGATTGTCCGTCAGTCTGCGGATGGTAAGCAGTGCTCCGACGAAGCTGAGTACCATGTAACCGAAACAACTCTGACCAGAAGTTGCAGGTAAAGACGCGATCCCTATCACAGAATGGTCCGAGGGAAACCATGGAGCCGGACAATCTCTTTCACAAACAGTGTAGCCACAGTCTTAGCGGTGAAGGGGTGACTCAAGGATAAAAAGTGGCCATACTTACCAAGCCGATCGACCACCATAAGAATCGTCTCACATCCCCCAGATTTAGATAGCCCTTCTATAAAGTCCATAGCAATATCTTCCCAAATACGATATGGAATAGGGAGAGGTTGTAATAACCCAGCTTCTCAGCCACAGTTTTGCTTTGTTGACAAATGGGACATTGCTGCACATATTTCTTAACATCAGATTTCATCTCTTGCTAGTAGAGTTCACTTGTCAGTCGTTTGTAGGTCCTTAAGAACTCGAGTGGCCACCCAAAACTGAATCATGATAGGTGTGCAAGATTGAGAGTATTAAGATGGAGTGCTTTGAGAGGACCAACCGCTACTTATACATTAATTATCCTTGGTGAAATGGAATTTGGATCCTCTGTCTGGGTCTGCTCCAATTCCCTCGTAATCATTGATAGATAAGTGTCCTTAACTTCATCATGGATCACATTACCATCCAACAACGTGACACTGGAAACAGCTGCCAATTGACCAACTGTAGGCATTCGAGACAAAGCGTCCGCAGCCTTGTTTTCCATCCCCGACTTATATTGAATCTCGAAGTCGTATCCCAAAAGTTTGGACATCCATTTCTGGTATTCAGGTTGGACCACACGCTGTTTAAGAAGAAACTTCAAAGCCTGTTGGTCTGTTCTCACAATAAATCTCTGCCCCAACAAGTATGGCCTCCACCTTTGCACTGCCATAACCTCAGCCATCAATTCACGCTCATAAACTGATTTGGATTTGACCTGAGGCGACAGAGTATGGCCAAAATAAGCAATGGGACGCTGGTTTTGTGCCCCCAAACCATACCCTGAGGCATCAGTCTCAATGACAAATGGCAGAGAGAAGTTAGGGAGAGCCAAAACCGGAATGGTCACCATTGCCTGCTTCAAGAGTTCAAAGGCCTCAGTAGCACGAGAATCCCAACGAAACGCATCTTTTTTAAGGAGCTGGGTTAGAGGAGCCGCCATAGTTCCATAGTTTGCTACAAATCGCCTATAATATCCGGTCAACCCTAGAGAGCCCCGTAACTCCTTTATGTTCACTAGTACCGGCCATTGGAGCATCGCTTGCACCTTCTCAGGATCCGCCTCTACTCCAATTGCAGAAACCCAATGGCCCAAGTACTCAATCAGGTTTTGAGCAAACTGGCATTTCTTCAAGTTTGCATACAATTTGTGGTCTCTCAGGAGGTTAAACACCACAGTTAAATGGGATACATGGGTCTCCAAGTCTAGACTATAGACTAGGATGTCATCAAAAAAGACCAAGATAAACTTGCGCAAGAAGGGACGAAATACCTGATTCATAAGTGCTTGAAACGTCGAGGGTGCATTTGTCAAGCCAAAAGGCATTACTAAAAATTCGTAATGGCCTTCATGTGTGCGAAAACCCGTTTTAGGTACATCTTCTGGTGCAACCCGAATTTGATGGTACCCAGACTTGAGATCTATCTTTGATTATATGCATGACCCATGGAGCTCATCCAAAAGTTCCTCAATCACCAGTATGGGAAACTTATCAGGTATGGTCACGTTATTTAGAGCTCGATAATCCACACAAAATCTCTAGCTACCATCTTTCTTTACCAGAATGATAGGACTGGAATAGGGGCTGACACTAGGGCGGATAATCCCTGCATCCAACATCTCTGTCAGCAATCGTTCAATCTCTGTTTTCTGTACCTGAGGATATTGATACGGGCGAACATTCACAGGGTCTGCGCCCTCCTTCAACACTATACGATGATCTATGGCTCTACTTGGGGGCAACGATTCTGGGAGATGGAAAATAGAGGAATACTTCTCTATCAGCCTCACAATAGATCGGGGATGGGTGGGCGGAGTGACTGCATTATCCCTCAGATGTCCTTCAGCCATTGCCTGTAGAGCCCACATTTCTACGAGATACCCTTGATCATGGCTCTCCTAAGCTTGAGACAATCTTTTGAAGGAAACTTTGAGCTTAGTTAAGGTCGGATCACCCCTTAGTTGGATCTTCTTCTCGTCCATTTTAAATACCATTGTCAGCGCGGGCCAGTCCACCTTCATATTTCCCATCTTTCGCAGCCACTGCAATCCCAAGACTACATCACGATTTCCTAACTCAAGCGGAAGGAAATCATCGCTCACCGTGATCTCTGGTAATTCCAATAGCACCCCTTTGCAAATTCCTTTCCCCTTTATCGCAACTCCAGTGCCCATGATCACTCCATAATTGATGGTCTCCGATCAAGGTAATTTCAGTACCTCAGCCAGGCACTTCGACACAAAGTTGTGGGTTGCTCCACAATCAATAAGGACTACTACCTCCCTATCCTGTAATAGGCCTTTCAACTTCATCGTTCCCGAGGGAGTGAAACCTACAATCGAATTGAGTGCCGCCAAAATTTCCACAGCCTTTCCTGTCTCATCATTCCCAACCAACTTGCCTTAGCTTGGATCAATCTCTTCTTCCCTGACCTCCATTTCATCGTTATGGACCATATAGACTCGTAATTCCTGATTCTTGCACTTATGTCCGATTGAATACTTCTCCTCACATCGGAAACATAAGCCTTTTTCTTTCCGCTTCTGATACTCGGCCTCCGACAACCACTTGTGTTGACTCTCCAGTTTACTAGGTTGTCACACCCCTGCTCCACGATTCGCAATCGTGACTACGCGAGTAGGAGTAACTTCAGTCGGTTTCGTCGCTATCTTAGTCCCAATCGAACTTATTCTGGAAGCGTTTCGTGTCAAGTTAACCTGTCCTGCTTCTTGCACCGCTAAGTCGATATCCTCAATGAGTTGGGCCTTTCTCATGATCTGTTCTAACCCTACAGGTTCCATCGACGAAACTTCTGCTCGAATTATCGGTTCTAAACCATTCAGAAAAGCACTATCGAGTACTTCATCAGATATGTGTGGTAATGGCGCAGTCAGAGCCTCAAACCATACACAAAATTCCACCACCGTCGTTTCCTGTTTTATCGATAACAGTCGCGCGCACTGCCTTGCCTCCTTCGACGGCAAAAATCGTCGAAACAGCCTCGTCTTCAGATCTTCCCAATCAACGAACCTATGCCGGTTGTTAATCCAACAATACCACGCCAACGCTACTCCATCAAAACTGATAACCGCCACAGTCATCCTCTCCCATTCACTCAACTTGTGGATCTCGAAATATCGTTCAGCTCTGAAATACCATGACTCCGGATCGACTCCTGTAAAAATTGGCATCTCAACCTTTTTAAATTTGCTCCGATCTACTCCCGCTTCTTGCATCCAATGACTTTGAAATCACCTTTGATTTCTTTCATTTTTGACGACGATCCCTCCCCTGTCACCGCACATGAAGGAAAAGACTTACCTCCGATAATCTCCGTCATAAATTGCTCCAACAATTTGCCGGTCCTTTCTCCTTGTTCGCGAATTCCTTGAATCGTCTCCTTGAGACTCACGAGCTCTGCTTCGGTCACTTCACAACGCTCTTCGAGCCTCTTCTGTGCCATTGTGCTAACCTCCCCAGATTGTTACTGCTCTGATACCAATTTATAAGGTTTTTCCTTACTTTTATTGATATTCAAGAACAAGAACAACGGAATCAACCCAACCAATTCGAGAGGGCTGGGGAAACTCTCCAAGAAAGCACTCTGCTATTCTTACTTGCTAAGGAATTCTCTACCTCCCTCAAGGGAACATTCTCCCTTTTAACAAACTACTCCTCATGCCCAAGTGTGCCCTACTCTTCTAACTAACTAACTGGAAGTATAATTCCCCTTCTACCCCTCCTAATATATGTCTTCACTACCGAGGGTCTAACATCGTCCCAATTCAGCATTTTGGCTAGAAAATAATTAGGTCATGACTGGAGAGAACCTATTTCTATGCCGACGACCATTAAAAATTTGACAGTTCATTATTTTTTAAAAAAAATTTCTATTTTTTTGTATTTCTCTCTCAGTTTGTCCATTTAATAATGGTCAGGATAAAATATGTTCTCACCGATTAACATCTAAGTAATTTCCTTTTGGTAGCTGCTAACATTGCACTAAACGGCCATCTATCAAATGTGGAAGTAAAATTGTCCAGATAAGATCAAAGTTATTTATTATTTATTATTTTTATTATTATTTTAAACAAAATACAACAAAAAATGTTGTGACATGTTTTTATTTGGACTGTATGCCATGGAGGAGTAAGTATGGTTGAAAGGAGTAAGTGTGGTGTGTGTTGTGTTATGATGTATATATGGAGGCTGAAGAGGCTCAAAACCTCCTGCTTTTTCAATGGCCTTTTAGTATACTAGATGCTGCTGGTGTTCTCTTCGAGATTTTGGATACTCATGGGTGATCGATAAGAATGTTTAAACTTCAAAGGAATATTTCTCTGTCATGTTAGAGAAGACAGTAGATACTATGGACTAATTGCTATAATGGCGACAGGGCTTATGAACAGGTAGGAACAATGAATTTTTAATGATAAGAAATTGGGATGCGGAGAAAATTCTAGACTAAGTAAGATTTCACTACTCTTTGTTTCTGCTGAAATCAATCAACTTCTTTTAACAAGCACGCTTATAATTAAAGTTAAAAAGGCATAATTGAAAATTTTTGAAGTATAGGGAGTATGTATGTAGATATCATTTGGAAATTAAATTATAATTTAACCTTGCTAGTGTTTTGGGAGAATCAAGTTATTTAATTAGTTCATAACAATTTTAGTAAGAGCAAGGGACAAAGCTCCTACTAGAACTTTTTTATCATGTTTAGGGGAAGACTTTCTTGATTGTCATTCTTCCCTTCTATCTAAGGATTAGTGGCCAAAGTCTCTCCAATGAATTTTAGTATAAGTTCTAGCCCTCTAAGATGTCTTTTCGTAAGTAAAACAAACATTAGTCACATTTCTGAAGTCTGGACTGCAATTCAATATCAATGCACAAAAGAGGGCATGTTCTCCCTTACAGTTTATCGATTCGTCTTATAATCTGGGATCAAATGTTCGATTCTCCATTCCATTATGCATGGTATTCAATGTTTTCTTGGATGAAATGTAAGTATATTTCTTCACATTTATAACTTTTCTTGATTGATGAACTAGTTGCAAATTTGTTGCTTGACCACCGTATCTTCACTGTATGCATAATTCTGAATTGTTCATTCATTCTCCAGATTCTTTTTTCCTAATCTTCATATGATGCTCGAACCTAGTTTTTTCTCTTACCATCTCTTGGCGAACCGAAATGCTTCAGGTCTTCCATCTCTAACCCTTGTTCTTCTAACCAAGTAGGAATTCGAGAACATGGTGCAAATGGAACAAACCTCAGAACCGAAATATCAGCTGCGGAGAACTAGTTCAGCATCCTTCTAAGGTATTGGTTTGGGTGTGTTGAGAGGACTGGACTGGGTATATAATGGAGTCAGCTGAATCTGTTTTTGTGGGTCCAATGCTGAATAGAGTTTGGTTACTACATCACATCACATCATATGTACATTATTTATTGATCCATATCTAATTTTCAGTTATAGAGGCAGCAAAAAGTGCAATGTTCATAATATTATTATGGTTCTGTTTCACTTAGAAAGGATAGGAAACAGGTTGGAAATTACTGAAAAAGTTGCTCACTTTTGATTACAACTAAATGTTTAAAATATAAGTGATTTTCTTTATAGGTAAGAAGTTAGAACATCCACTCCTCATACCTATTCACTTATAATATGCTAATTTTGGAATCATGAGTCACCAAAAATGTGCCATGATTGGCCCCCAAGGTGCGCAGCCCTATTGGCAAGGTCTTAGGATCTCTTAGTCATATCGACTTAGAGATCCCAAGTTTGAAACTTTGGTAAGCTTAATACTGAAAACCCTTTATATCTCCTAAGTTCGTGCCTTGGATGGATGTGAGTGCTCCTAGTATAGGGGAGCAAAACTTCGACTCCTAGTTATATATATAAAAAAAAAAGTACTAGGACAATGTATTGTTTTCATGGTTTAGGAAAGATAACAATCTTTTTGATTTAGTCCCAATTAAAAAAAAATCAATTTAATCCTTTATGTTTTAACATGTTTTAAGTTAGTCTTTAACCGTCGATAAATGTTATTAATATTGGTTGATGATAAACTTATATGATATAATATTTAGTGAGTTGATGAAAATTTAGAAGGAAAAAATGTTATCACTAGAAAATTTGAAAATTTCCATGGGATTTGGGAGGATAAGAAATTTTCCTCTCATGGTCTCTAGATATTTTTGTCGACTCACGAAATATTCTATCATGTAAGTTTATTATGAACTAATTTTAATATTTATCAAGGACGATGATTAAATTGAAAATTATTAAAATACAAGGGACTAGCTAAAACTTTTCAAAAGACTAAATTAAAAAAAAAAATCTATTAAACATAAAAATATATTTAGCCTTTATTTATCAAGATTGACAAGTTGGTGGCTTGGTGGTGAGATTTTAAAGAGAACAAGGTGTATAAGTCAACCGAGAATGAATTGATTAGTACTTGGGCAATATTTCTACTTTAGTTTGGAACTCTTAAAACCTATTTTTGGCACCATTCTGATTCGTATAGGTTTGTGTTAAAAATAGTTTAAAAAATAATTATTTTTCTCTCTCGACGCCAATATCTCCTCTCATTTCTTTGAGAAAATGAGACGACAAGAGTAAATAGATGAAAACAATCAAAGTGAGTACTAAAGACGCCACAAAAAAGAAAATGATTGAAAAGTTGCTATTGTTTAGTTTTAAGAGTATTCCTCAACTCTCTGACTATTTTTTGGTTCAATTTTGAATACATTTGTTTCTATACAAAAAAAAAAAAAAAATCAAAACAGTAATAGGGAATGATTGATGATTTCTCGAGCTTACGAAGAAGAAGCAAAAGCCGATGAAAACATGAGAGCAATAATTAATTACTTTTAACTATTTTTTTTAACACATCAACCTTCAAAATATATCCTGTTGTTACTGTAGCTATTTGAAAAGTAAAAACCTATTTGTCAAAACTTAGGGACTAAAATGCACGATTTTAAAACAAACTCATACTCAAAAACTGAGACCAAAAAGGTATTTTTCCTTTAACCATTATCAATTTCTCACTTTAAAAAATCATTTGAAAATGCACACGAACCTTAAAAATTTGATTCCATAATTCACTTCTCTCCTACTTGTACCTCAGGATGAAAATGTGTTTAAGAATTAAACAGCACTCAACTAGTTATGATACTTGTATTCGACTATAAGGTCGTGAATTCGAATCCCTAATCCCGCATATTGTATTTTTTAAAAAAAAAACTTCTAACCTAAAAGCAACTTAAATTCCCTCTGTGAACTAACATTACAAGATATCATCAATCCTTTCCCAAATTAAAAAACCATCCTTCTTCTATGAACCAAGTGCAATACTTTCAGTTTGCTTCATGGTTTGTCAGGCAAGCATACTCAAGATTAGAAGCATTACTTACAAACATCAATTTCACCAACATAACATTTTACTTGGAGAGCATGAGATGTTCTTTCTAATGGTTGCAAACCTGTTTTAGTCGTGTAGCCACTGATGTACTGCCCTCGGGGATAGAATCAACAGCACATAGAGATAGTCCAAGATGTGGCTTGTATCAAGTTAAATTCTCTTCAAGGGGCTCAGAGAGGGGGAAGCTGCAACTTTTTCCTCCTTGAAGGGCTGTGTTGAAGAATCAGAAAGACTAGGCAACCTTGAAACACTACCCTTCCCTTTCTTGGCATTTGGCCCGAATTCCTCTATCATGTATTTCCACCCATCAATCGGTCTCCGACGACTAAATATATGGGTCTTGATGAAACTAGCTATCTGCAAATGAAAGCGAGCAACGGGGTAACAGGTATACTAAAGAGAGAGACTTCATAAAACAAAAAGAAAATCCAGAGAAATGAGTTCTAACATCTGTTGAGTCTCATGTCAGGCCAATAGTGCAGAAGGAAAATATAGAGTGCATGGTGAACTCCACATTAACGAAATGATATCCTTGACTAAAGAAAGTTAAGATTGTAACATCAAATTATCAGAAAGAAAACTCTGAGTTCTTAATTCCTTTGGCTGACATGATAACGCAAGCAAATATTAATTGTACCAGTGAATAAATGAGCTATTTTTCTTTTTTATAATTGGGAATGCCCAAAGGTACTCATGACTGTCCCAAAGCTTGAACTTGAGATCTCTAATCCAGTATGACTAAGAGATCCCAAGCCCTTGTCAACTGGGTTGTCCCTTGGGAGGCGATAAATGAGCTATTTTAATAACTATAAGACAAGCCATAAAGTTCTATGATTGTATGCATTTTAAGCTGGGAAATTTGGTTTGAAAGAAATATGGAAATTTCCATCAAAAGAATGGTCTTCAGCAAAGTTGTGGGATTTTATACTGTTCATCTCGTCCTCTTTGAGTTCTTTGTTTTCTTTTTGTGATTACTCAGTTTTTTCTGGTAAATTCCTTTGATGTTTTAGATGTATTCTTCCCTTTGTATATTCCATATTCCTAATGACATGTTCTGTCTCTCATCAGAAGCAATCTGTTTCTTTAAAGAAAAAGTGGTTCTGGTAGCAAAATGAGGAACAAAAGAACTCTTTCAACGTGTAACTATGAATTTGTTTTGATAACTATTTTATTTTTAGTTTTCTGTTTTTGTTTTTAAAAATTATACTTGTGTTTGTACTATATTAGTAACTTTTTCACCTCTCTTGTACTAGAAAAAAAGTTTTTCACCTCTCTTCAAAACATATTTGAATTCTTAGCCAAATTTTTTATTTTTTCCCCAAAATTTAGCCTAGATTTTGAAAATATTTATAAAAACTATATAACAAAACAAAAAATACATGTGAAAGTAATGTTTCTCAACTTAATTATTAAAAACAGAAAACAAAGAAGGAAATGATTATCAAGTGAGACTTATATTAACGCACCTGAAATTTATTGTATGCAATACGACGATCGAACTCCTGGAGAAGAATGTCTTCTTCCCTTTGGGTCATCTCCCACACATTTCCATCTTGACCTTTGGATGTTGTCTCCCAACCATCAGGCTTGTTTCTGAACTCAGAAGAACTGGGAACTTTTGAACGGTTTAAATCATCATTGGCAGACTCAAAAATCCTGCAATCACATCAGTTTAGACTTGCTTATGTACACATAAGAAATTATGTCTAATAAATCTCTAAACTTTAAAAAGTGTAATAGATTTTTAACCTTTGGATGTTGCATCTAATAGGTATGAACCTTGACAAATGTAGCCCTTGACCTATCAAACATTTTCTAAGACTCTACATATTGGAGGTGCTCAAACCACAATAAATTCTTTTGTAATTATAGCATTCTCATGGTTTCAAATTATTGGAAGACTTTAATGGCTTAGTTCTCTTTTGGGAAGAGGTTCTCTCTCCACCAAGTTATCTACTAGCCATGTTTTCTTTATGTGAGAATGTCCAGTACTCCAAGAATTCAGGAAGCTGAATACACTCAAAAGATGCCACCTAAAGCATTTCGCTTTGATCATTCCTGTCAATTGAGTGAAACGATGTTCTCGTATGGACTTGACAGCTTTAGCATCGCGGGTCTCTCATTCCCAAAGAGCTCTAGCTCAAATGACTTTGCCACTGAAAATCAAAATCTTCCAACCAAAATCCACCTAGCAAGGAAGGAGGTGATCCTACATCCTTCCAAAATTTCAGGTGCCGTCTTCTCCTCTTGTTGTTAATACATCTTTTGTTTCTTTTAGGAAAAAAAAATCTAATATTTGAGGTTCATCCAACATAAAATTGAAAATTCAAGGGTCGACTGGACGCTATTTTTAAGTTTAAAGATTTATTGGACACAACGTAAAGATGAAACATTTTAATGCTAAGTCTCAGTGACCTATTCTATTAGACACCATTATAAACTAAAGAGGTGCCAAAGCTCTACTCTTTGCATTATGCTCATTGATTAACCCTTTCTAATCTCTAGTTTCACCCACCAAAAGCAAAGACCTCCAAATATCTCAAAACATACTAAGCCCTGAACACCAGGACACCCTAGGGATTGCCTTATTACATTATCTAAATCAAATAAACTAACAATCTTTACAGGATAATATGATCAGAGCAGAAACACAAACATGAGGCTTTAATCATTTGCACTTAAACAAAAGAGAGAGAGAGAGAAGAACTCACTCAGAGCAGCTATCCATCAATCTTTCAATGTCGTCCCCAGTGCCTGTAATGGAATCCCCCAACCTAGCTTCCTCTTGCTTCTCAATCTCCTTCATCCACAAATTGGCATGAATCCTCTGCTTCTTCAATCTATAATCCTTCTTTATGTTCTCCAAGCTATAAAGCGACCCGCCACCGCCATCGCCATCGCCATCCTTCTCTTGCTGAAGCATTCCTTGTTTCTGCGTTTGGGACGCCTTTCGCCTCTCGTTCCAATTCTCATTCATGTCCTCAACAAAGGCTTTGGTCTCTGCATCCGCGTCCGACGGCAGCACAATCGTAGGGTTTCCAGTCGGGAAGTTGACATCACTCTCCCATGGCGCTTTGTTCTTGGGCGAAAGGTCTTCCGGAAGCCAAGCAGATTCCCAAGTATCATTCCACTCATCGTCGCCATTTCTGAACTTGGCGAATCCGGAGGTAGGGGAAGATTTGGCCGACAACGCTCTGACATGGAAGGAAGAGCTGTAATGGGTGGTTTCTCCGAATTGCAGAGGCAGTTCAAGAATCCGATTCTTCGGTAAACAGAATTTTGCAATGCGATGAAGGGAATTCATGTGCGATAAAAGAAAAAATATGAACAGAGAGTCCGATTGGAGAAACCTGGAGGCAGCTGCAGCAGTCGGAGGATCTTCAAAGCGGGGGAGCTCCGAAATCGGAGATGAACTTCAAATGAATTTGGATTTTGGGCTAATTTTTCATAATGTAATTTGAAAAAGAAATAACAAATTTAAGGTACATTACAGATTAAAATTAATAAAAAAGTAAATAAAATAATATAAATATGAAATTGGGTGAATTTCAAAATTATTGACAAAGCTAGGGGAGTGGCGGTCAAAGTCAAAATTCATGGACATAGGTTGTACGCGATTCCAGTGAACTTGCATACAATGTACACAAATTCAAGAAAATTATATACTTTTTTATGTTATTCTTTRAACCATAAAAATTTGCCATAATATCTTTTTTTTATTAAGTTTTCAATTTTCTATCTTGAATTAAACTTAAATTTAACTTCAATTATAAACTAAATTCAAATTCATTAATAAGATGATTACACAAGTGGAGAGAGAGAGATGAATTTTGAAAATAGGGTTTGAAGTAGAGTCGAAAAGGAAAGGTGGGGACAAAATTAAAGACCATCGAACTCGTGTGCAATGCACACGATTTTTGACCGCTCACGTGGCTTCAACGGCACACAGTTGGAGCCACATCAAACAAACTTGCAATCTCATAGTTGAAAGTATATGTCAATTACCATTGAATTATACTCGCTTTGCCTCTATTTGTTTAGAATTTATTGATAAAATTTTGTAAATATGAATCAAAATGCCCACTACTATTTTTTTTTTAATGTAAATGGATTGAACCTTTCGAACCCTACAAAATGAATAAGATACAAAGTCATGTTCATGTTGGTTAAAATAGTTACTTTTTTTTTTATTAAATCCAGTGATCAAAATAGACTATAAAAATTTAGAATGGACAAAAAAAATAAAATTATAGTGACCAAATTGAACCTTTTAAAAATAAACTAAAGTTAGATTACGGACTAAAATAGTATACAAACTCGATAAAAAATCAGCTTAAGAAAAAAAATACCTTAAATCCATTTTATGGTTTATTTATTTATATCTGTATACTTAAATTCGATTTAAATCCTACTTTGATTTTTTATTTTAGTTTAGTTTTTGAATTTTTTTAAAGTAATTATTTTAGAAGTGTCTATTTTAATTCATGAACTTTAAAAAAAATAATAATTTTGATTATTGTTATATAATTTTGCCACATAATAACTATTTGTTTAATATTACTGAAACAAGTGGGGGTGATTATAGCGATTCTTTCTGATCCTACAAAATGTCCAAAAAAATCTACTACCCTTCCAATCTGGATAGTTTGACTTCTCAATCACAATAAAAAAAATAGTATACATACTCAATGTCTTGTTATTAATTTGTTAAAAATAAAATAAGAGTAAGGATCAAAATGAAGTTTAAATTCTAGAAAAAAGTTCATGAACCAACTAAAAATTTTAAGTACTAAAATTAACTTTTTAAAATTTCAAAAAACTAAAATAAAATAATCTTATAAGTTCAAGAACCACAACAAAATTTAAATATTTACATTATATTTATTTACATTATATTTAATAGATAAGTAGATAAGTACATAGGTGGTATAAGTTGCGTCCCTCGTGGCTTGAACACAAGACCTCGAGGTTTATTCTTTGAGGCCCCAAGTCATCCCATCTATCCAAGATCCTACTTTGTAATATTACATTTAATAAATTTCAAACAAATTTTTTTAATCCCTTAGAGGATAATTTAATGAAGGTTAGACGACTAAATTTGAGATTTAAAAAGTTAAAAATAAAAACCTAAGCATCAAAATCGAACTTCCACACATAATTAAAATAAAACTCCAACTTTAAAACATCAACAAAAGTTGAACGATGAGATCTCAACTAGTTAAGACACTAGTACCTCCTTAAAAAGGCAGGAGGTTCGAATTCTCACCCCACTTCTTGGTGTACATGTAAAAGACACGAGTATCCGGGTGGAGAACAATGTTCAAAAGAATAGAAACTACTGCAGAAAAGGAAACAGAACTGAGAAATCTGAAACATGAATAATTTCACTAGGTAAATACTGTCTACTCTGACTAACATATAAACTACAAATGAAATAAATCAACAAGAATACAAGGAAAGATGCCAAAAAAGCCAAGAGGAAGAAACATTGTGATTATATGATTGTCAAAACTCTCTCTTCTCTGCTTTCCATCAAAACTTTCAACTACTTCATATATTAATTCACACTTATTTTTCTTCAAACTTCAAAACAATGCATTTTCTAGGCAATGTCTTTTTTTTCCTAACCTCATTTTTCTTTTCTAGCCAGGGCCTCTCCTTTGTACTCGCAGGCAGCAGTGACCACAAAACCTGCTCCTACCTGGAAGGAAAGTTGAAGTAATATAAGAAGATGACAGGAGACGGGGTACGGGGGGTCGGTGACGCCCGAGAAAAATTGTGGGGTGGGGGAGTGAGTGAATAATTACTTGACAATCTCTCAATACAGCACGCTCCTGAAGTTGTACGTTGCTGCAGATAACAGAACCTTGAATTGAACAACCGTCTCCAATCGTAACGTGATCCATGACGACTGAATTAACGATCTGTATAGGTGGAATGCACAAAATATTTGGTTCCCGAAGAAGCAAATTACAAAATTTTGTTGTATCATGTTTATGGCAGAACAAATTCCTTTCTAACCCTAACCGATCATAATACCTTCACGTTAGAGCCTATCCGGCAATGGCGGCCAATTACGGACCGTTTGACGCTACATTTGTCACCCATTTGTGAACCTTCTCCCAACATACAATGGGGCCCCACCTGAAACCATCATATTTAGTACAAGGGAATGGCCAATATAACAAGTACAAAGTAAACCAACATTGTGAAGTTCAGATATTTGATTGATTCAGAAATAACAAGGGAATTACATCGATCTCTAAGGATTTTTTTTTTCTTTTTCTGGGTGAAAAATCAAAGTTTTCATCCAGAAAAATAAAAGAAATCTCTAAGACTTTTTTGAGGAAACTCTAAGATTTTTTAAGAGTAGAGAGGTCTTGAATCTCTTGCTAGGTTTAATGTCTCCCATACATTGGTTCTCAAGTATTTTTGTAATTCTCAATTAGGCCCTTTTTCGGATTGGAGATGTTTCTTGTATGGTTAGTTAAAGTTTTGTTTGGGCTCTTGTAACTTTTGTGTTTTCTCAATGAAAGTCCGGTTTTTCATATTTTTCTTTTAAAACAAGGAAATTACACTAAAAAGACCTTTTACTGTATAATAATATATACCGCAAGTGTCAACATTAAGAATTAGTTATATATTAAAGGTATTGAATTTAACTCACAGTGGTTTTTGATCCGAGTTGTGCAGAAGGCTGAATGATGTTATTTTGAGCAGAGAAAGAGTAACCTGAAAGATGACTTGCCTCTCCAATAACCTTACAGATATTAAATCAAACTTCAGTCAAGGAAATTAAATGGAGTCCAGAAAACCAATGCAACATAAAAAGGTCAAGAGAGAGCTTAAGCAATACGGTAAACTTACATCTCGATTAATATCGCTGTATGCTTGAATTGAACATAAGCGACCACAATAGTTGCTACTAGTGGGAATATAAACACAACATTTATGCGTTTTTCGAACAGGAACAGATCCATTAGCACCATATGCACAATGATCATGAAAACTTGTACTAGATGAATTAGAAAGGATCTGTGACAGCAATACTTGGTTCTTGTGGGAACCGACTTTCTCGTTCCCATTTTCTTCCGCTTGTGGTGTTCCATTCACTAAAACTTCAGACCTCTACATTAATTGAAGAAATCAATCTACTTCAGTAAATTTATATGCACTTGCTGTTGACACAATAGAATATGTTGTGGCGTTACAAACTAACCAACTGGCTCTGCACAAGATAGGGCAACACATCTTGCCTTAAGCTTCGGAGAGTATCTTTCTGATCTAGAACCTCTTGCAAAGCAGATCTGTTAGACAAGTTTATACATATGAGGATATAAACATGATAATCACTTAAATGTATGACATAGCAACTAGGAGGATAATTAGATCGGGACCTTTTGAACGCATACATATATGCATCCATGAGATCGGCCCGGATGTCCATCTACATTAAACAAAGACAAAGATAATGTAAATTTAGATCCAGGAAGTTCACATTTAACATGGAATAAGTCATATTCTTCCATTTAGAACTTGAATTAATAAAATGTAATAATCAAATTCTAATCACAAAAAAGGAAAAGCTAATCAATTAAACAAAACAATTGACAGATTCATATGGAAGCAAATCAAATCAAGTGTTTCACAATTCAAAGGGCAAACAACGTGGTTTGGTGCGATACCTTTGATCAAGGACATTAGTAATCAATAGAAAGCCAATTAGGTTTTAAAAGTAAGGAAACTTTTACCAAATAACATATTATCAGGCAACCATTACCTGGCCAACAGCACGGAGTATGCTCTTCTGAATCTTATAGTCTTTCTCTATTTCAGCACCTGAAAGAAAATAAAGATGATATAGGGGACATATTGAAATTCTATGGAGAAATTATATACAAATGCTAACCTGTCGCTATATATAATAAAAACTGCTTGGTAGGATCAAGTCCAACAATATTGTGGACTACTGCCTTTTTGGTCTTGTCTTTTCCACCAGAGGATCCAGATTCTAAAGACCCACTGATTGGAACAGAACATAGCATTGCAGTAACTACAGCATCGTGTCGTCTATGTGCAGCTGCAACTGCACCAGGAGGAACATCAGAAACAAGATCACCACTCACGACCTGCAGAAAAGCAAAGGACTCATAACTGTAAATAATTAGAATTACAGAAAATATGCTGTTTAAAGCATTTGAGTCTAACCAAAATATCATTTGCTGTCAAGTGGTGAGCAATGGCCCTAAGTGCACCAGCGGTTCCAACATCCTCAGGAACAGAAGTAACCTAGAGATCACCAAATGGAAATCACAAACTCTTATAATAGAAGCAAATTTCCTTTTCATTATTTCAATGAGAAGTTCGTATCTTGTTCAAAAAAAAATAATAGAAGCAAATAAAGAACTCTAAGCGCTCCTTCTCTTTGTAGGCATCCTTGGGGGGGAGAGGGGGGTGTTAGTTAGGAAATCATCTTCTGACAGAAATTTTTGTAAAAGCAGTACAGACAGTAAAAGAATATGTATAGAGATCACCAATTGTTGATCGACGTATTCAATATTCTTGCAGTCACTTGTGTATGACCTACCTATCTACCTTTTCTCTACTTTATGAAACAATTTAGTGATATGGAAAAGATAAAAGAAACTGGAAGTAAGGTCAAACAGCAACATTGAAAACATAAAATTATGCAGAGCTATCAAACATCAAATGTATTTCAATAACTAGGATTCGGAAAGCAAAATAAACTAAACGTATGCTTCTAATACACTTCGACAACATACAAAATAAACAATTTTTTACATTCTGCATAAAAGAATGTCACGTTCATACTATAAATATAGTTGCTACTCCATTCACAATTTTTAAAAAATGCTAAAAGATCTCACATTTTCCCTCTCTGTCCTTCAACAGCAGTTCACAATTTTAAGGCCATCTAAAATACACTAAAAGAAATGCTCTCGCATTTCATCATTTTAACCAATTGTTTCTTGTTGGGAATAAAAAAAAAACATTTATTTCATCAATACAAAATGAGGGAATGACTAGGGATCCAAGCCCAACATAGAGGCTAGAAAAATCTGCTAGAAAACCCTCCAACTAGTCATTAGCAATAAAATAGGATAACTACAAGAGTTCTTGCGGTAAAAAGCCAAAAGGAATGATTTTATCCGATCCAAGGCCACCCAGTGTCCAAAGAAATCTTGTTGTTCTAAATAAACCAAATTCTCCACAGAATGGGAAAGACACCAAAGAGGCGATTTTTTTTTTTTTTAACTAAAACTAACTGTTTTGTACTAAGGTCAAGACTGAGACCGGGCAGGATCAACAAATCGTCAACAAAGGATGAACCCACCCAATAAATCGATTATTTTATTGTGATGTAATTTACAAATTTACAAATTATAGTTTTGATTTTTAATAAATTCTCAACATTATTTGCTGAGTTCTACCGACCTATCCATAAATATGATGCTATTATCCATGGTTAGTCCCTCAAGGGTGAGTCAAGACCTAAGATCAATTTTGAAAAGCAAAGTCAATGGATAATAGATGAATGTTCCAGTGCTACTCCAAGTTCCGTGAGACAAAAGAAGCTACGTTAGTGGAAAGATGGTTTTTGGTTCAAGGACACAGAGTACCCCTAGTTTCTCAAGGTAATCAGAGAGCATGCCTTAATTCTCCCCTGCGTTGGGAAAATGGGGTAAAACTAAAGGCAACCT